CACACACACACACACACACACACACACACACACACACACACACATACACACACACACACACGCACACACATACACATGCATACACACACACACACACATGTACGCACGTACGCACATACACACATATAAAAACCGCTACGAAGGGTCAGCAACCATCACAGAGACTTGCCTTACTCTTTTTTTGCTGATTTTTTTCAACATCCATTATGATCACGTTCATGCTCTGACTAAAACATCAATCGTATTTGCAAGAATTCGTTCCATATTATACTCCCGTCGATTTGTGTGTGTGTGTTATGTGAGAGAGAAAAAAAAACATACTAAGATTTTTATAATAAAATTATCATAATTGCGTTTTCAAATTTGAAATAAAAATCAAATACTAAAAATAAATAATAAAATAAAAATTAGAAAAAATAAAACGAGAATGAAATTATTGAGTGGGCGAGCATGTCTTTGGCACCGCCATCTTTGGCGATTTTTTTTTCTTTTTTGGCTGTGACAAATGCCATGAAAAATTTTATATGTGTATCTCACATAATAGAGAATTTAGAAATAAAGTTTGAAAAAATAATAATTTTTTTCATGCCCCGAAAGAAAGGAAAAACAAAAAGTGCAAAGAGAAGAAAAAACAAATTAGTGAGTGGGCAAGCAAGTCTTGACACCACCATCTTTGCCGATTTTTCATTTTTGTTTGGATGAACAGAATAGCTTAAAAATTAAGGAGGAGATACCGTACATCACAAAGAACGCACTATACAAAATTCAGAAAAAAATAATAATATTTAGGTGCCGAAATAATTTTTGGCGGCACCTGAACCCCTTCAGGTTCGGGCCCCGTACGGGAACCCGAACGCCCGAACATTCGGGGGTCAGCTTAGGGGCCTCCGTACATTCAGCCTGGGAACCCTCTGCATATGTCTATATGCATTTATGTGTATGTGTGAGTGAGAGAAAACATAATAAGTATTTGTATTATATATTAGTGTTTATTTTCTGTATTTAGTTTTTAATTCAAATTTGGTAAAGAATTTGGATGTAGTGCCCAAGCAAATGTTGTTTAGTTTATTTTTACTGGGCGAGTGTTCGTGCATGGAACAGCGAAGGACCTTGCAAAAGAAGAAAAAAAAAAAAAATCATGAAATGAACCATGCGACAAGTTGGATCGCCCGGGTCACTCTATTATCCCGAGCAACCCGGCCTTGCAATAACCAAAAAAGGTAAAAAAAAAAAAAAAAAAAAAAAAAAAAAAAAAAAAAAAAAAAAAAAAAAAAAAAACAAACTATGTTATCTAGGAAAATAAATTGAACAATTTTTGCCTCATATTGATTTTATTTACCAAATTAAATTATTTATTAGCTAGGCTACCAGTCAGGCTGCTCAGGTCACCCTATTTTTTTGGAAGGCCCAACCGTGCAAGGACCACGGAGGGTCAAAAAAAAAAAAAAAAAAAAATAGAAAAAACTATGTTATGCAGAAAAATAAACCAAACAATTTTTATCACAGGGTTACATCGAAATTCCTTACCAAATTTAAAATAAAAATAAACATTAAGAACTATATACATATATACAGGGTTGTCGACGTTCAGGACGGGCCGAACGCCCGAACGTTCGGCAGCCCTTCTCAATGTGTTCGGCCGTTCGACTGAACGAGGAACCCACCCCCCCCTCAAAAAAAAAAAGAATTCCAAAAAATACCAGGCTACCAGCCAGGCCGCTCGGGTCTCGAGTGGCCAGCCCGTGCAAGGACCAGGGAAGGTCCAAGCAAAAAAAAAAAAAAATTCAAAAAATCAAAAAAAAACTATGTTATGCAGAAAACTAAACTGAACAACGTTTGTCCCAGGGTCACATTCGAAATTGTGCACCAAATTTATAATACAAAATAAAATTTTATTTTTATTTTTTGTATTTTTTTTTGTTCGGTCGGGCAAGTGACTCTCGGACCATTTTGGTAGCCTAGAAAAAATATGAAAAAAAATCTGTTATGAAAAAGAACAAACTAAACAACATTTGCCTCAACATTCAAATTTAACTATAAATAGACTAGTGAGAGGATGAGATAGATGCGTACTACCAAGAAATATGAAATAGATTAAGATTAGAATATAGATTACTTAAAAATAAATAAATAAATAAATAAATATCAAATTTGAAATAAAAATAAAATACTAAAAATAAATAATAATAATAATAATTAAAAAAAAAAACAAGAATTAAATTATTGAGTGGGCGAGCAAGTTTTTAACACCGCAGTCTTTGGCGATTTTTCTGTTCTCTCATGCCCGATAGCGAAGGAGATCTCGGAGGTCAGCTTAAGGGTCTCCGTACGTTCGGCCTGACAACCCTGCATATATATATATACAGGGTTACCGGCGTTCGGGACGGGCCGAACGCCCAAGCCCAAACGCCCTAACGTACAGGACCCCTTCGGGAGGTGTTCGGTTGTTCGGGACGAGGGAAGGTTCCAGCAAAAAAAAAAAAAAAAAAAAAACGTTTTCAACAAATTCCGAAAAAAAACTATGTTATGGAAAAATATAAACTAAATAACATTTGCTTGGGCACTACACCCAAATTCTTTACCAAATTTGAACTAAAAATCCAATACAGAAAATAAACAATGTGATAAAAATAAGAAAAAATACAAAGAGAATTAAAATGAGTGAGTGTGTCAGCACCTTTTCGATACCGCCATCTTTGCCGATTTTTAATTATTTTTGGGCATTGACAAATGCCCTAAAAATTTACAGATATGTAGTTTACATAATCAGTAACTCATTAAAAAAAAATCAAAAACTAATAAATATTTTTAGGCCCCAAAATAAAGTGAAAACAAAAAATTAAAAGTGAAAAAAAACAAAATAATGAGTGGGCGAGCACGTTTTGACACCCCCATTTTTTATGACTTTTAATGTTTTTTTGGCTTAGCAGAATCACTTCAGAAATTACAGGCGTGTAAGTTACATCACAGAGAACTCACAAAAAAACATTCGGAAAAAAAAACTTATTTTTAGGTCCCGAAATATTTTTTGGCTAGGGCCGAACCTGGAGGTGTTCGGCCCCCGAACGGGACCCCGAACGCCCGAACATTTGTGGGCCAGCCCGGGGGCTCCCGAACGTTCGGTCAGATAACCCTGTATATATATATATATATTTATTTTTTTTAATTCATTTTTTGTCTGGCTAGGTAAATGATCTCGGACCACTATGGTAGCCTATGATGGATGTTATGAACTGTTCGTACAACACACAGTAAACAACATTCTGGACAAATCCAACACAGATGTACGACACAACTGTATGAATTATCATTTAAGCATCTTCATCTTGCTAAAATTTGACACACATTAACCAACATAGATTAAATGTGGTCATCATCATGAAAAATATAGATTGAGCCGATTGATGGAAAAATAAATCACCAACACACTCCCCCCACACCCAATTTCGCTCGACCCTTCGAACATAACCTACTTCTATTGAGACGACAAACAATCCGCAAACAGGCTACACAAGATCAAATCCTGCATTAGTCAAATCAACATAGCAACAACTCTCTGCCTTAGACTATTCGCCGGGGCACAGGTACCGACTACAGCCCACAAAATGTCCAAATTATGCCCAAATAAAAACTACAAGTCGACCGAACAAGGTGAGGGACAAACAAGGTACCCTCAATTATTTTAGTTTCGGTAATCTGTTATAGATCCTCGTCTAGATACAACCACCGAGTTATATAACATGCTCAAGTTCTAATGATGGACCACTCCCATTCTAGGTACACTATTATGTTGTTCCACAAACTAAATTATAACAAAGGATGACGTCAGGTTCTAGTAGATGACCAAGTTATACTAAGTGTTAAATGCTACCAAAGGAAACACCTGGTCCAAGTACATCACCATGTTATACTACGAGCTACATACTAATGGAGGACAATACCTGGTCCAAATATACCACGAACTTCACTAAGCATTCTACGCCCGATTCCAATCTGTGAGCAACACCGCAATCATTTTTCAAACTACATTTTTGTCTCGACTTAAATTTTTGAGGGACCTCTCAAACCAACGCCCTTGATAGTTATTATTCCTCAATTCTAATCTCAACAAAACTACGGATTCCAACAATTCAAGTCCCATGTAAGATTTATGGTCTATTCGATGCAGCGCACTGGTAATGGCTGTCATTTTTTCTTTCTTACTTGACCACGAATGAAAATCCTGAAACATACGAAATGGTAACTTCATCCCTTCCCTCAATTGCTGTTTCTTTTTCGGAATTTGCATTGTCCCGAGGAAGAGAATCTCCTAACGTGTC